CAGCGTGCGCACCAGAATGTGCTCGAGAACCTCCCCGTCTTCTTTGCGCTCCTGGTCACCTCCAGCATCTACCGCCCGGGCTACGCGGCGATCGCGGGTCTTATCCGCGTCCTCGGCTTCATCGTGTACGTCCAGGGCTACGCGACGGGCGACCCGTCCAAGCGCATGAACGGCGGCTTTGGCTACCTCGGGCTCTTCGCGTCGCTCGGTCTCAGCATCGAAGCTGCGATCACGCTTCTTTACTAGGCGTAAATTCATAGAAACAACGAGTTGTCTGCTGCATGTAGCATGTCTTCTTCCTCGCATTGATAGAGACATAGTCGATGTCCCTACGACGTGTCGACGGGACGACGCGCTTTGGCGCTGCGCGTGACTTCGAGGAGCAGCATCGGGTACTCGCCGAGCTCTTCAAAGCCTCTGGTATCAACCACGTCGTGGAAACAGGCGTGGATGAACGTCATGCAGCTTGCTTTCAGCATCGTCGCCTGCACGACCATGACCGACTAACTAACTAATGAGGCCATACCTCGTACATGTTGGCGGCAATGAGCACGGCGCAGACGCTCTCGACATCCAGTGTGTGTGCGAGGTGGTTTTCGCAGAGACGCGAGAGCTCCTACGTCGACAACTCGTCGCTGGATGGTCAGGACCGTAAGTTGACGCACCGCCACCGAGTAGTGGTCGGCGAGGCCGAGGAGCTCGACCGCTGTCTCGAGCGAGAGCTGCTCGACGTAGCCCGTGTAGAAGAACTCCTAGGGTTGCGGTTAGCACAATCAGCTCAAAATACAGTGTATACCAGCAAGCTGTAAAAGGCAGCGTAGGACCAATTTGGAATCGTTATCGTATCGGCGAGACTCTCGCGCATGCCACTGGCAAACATGCAGCGAAAGAGCGGACTCTGCGCCGCCACAATCGCCTTGTGCGCGCGAATCGGCTTGTCTTGGACGAGGAACGTCACGTCGCTGTAGCTTGCCTCTTGGTCGAATAGCAAGTGGCGAAGGTTGGCGACGACGAGAGCTTGCGCGGTGGCTCTGAGCCCTTGCTCCTCGATGCAGCCAATGTCGAGAATGTACATGTCGTCCATCCACTTGAAGCCGTCAAAGCCTCCGACAAAGTAGATCTTATGCAAGCCATAAGCAGCCATAGTGTAAGATGTAGGATGGACCTTGGCTCCGACCAAGCAGGCGCTGTGGCGCTGGCGGCCCGTGGGCACTGCGTCCATTTCCGGTGGCCGTTCCCAGCACATGCCATCTATATAGCATGATATTGAACTATCGCAAGAGGATGGAGAATTGATCAGACCCAGGTTGAGAATGAAGAGCTCGTTGGACCGGCCGCGGCCATCGTAGCCGCCAAAAAAGTAAATTTTGTGGTCTCGAATCGTCGCCGTGTGGCCGCGCAGCCCTGGCGGAAATGGCCCTTGGATGCTCGCCAAGTGCGTCCACGTCAGCGTCACTACACCTCGCAGGATGACGACATCGGGCTGCGGCTATTTGTTGGCCAACCGGTTTGGAATTCGTACAAGTCGCGCAAATGCTTGGCGCCCGAGTGCCCACCAAACATGTACAACGTGGTGCCCCGGATCGAGACGGTGTGCGCATTGCGCGGCGCCGGCTGGTACCCATGCACCGTCGGGTGGATCCACGTATAGGTATCTAGTTGTCCACGTTTGCCAGATATCGGAGAAATATCGTGTACCGAGGTCAAGGATGTCAATGTCGTTGAAGCAGTTGACGCCGTCAAAGCCGCCAAAGACGTAGATCTTGCGGCCGACGCGCGACATGGTGTGGCACGCGCGGGCGCTGGGGCCATGGCCTGACGTGGTCTACGCAAGGCATGAGTTTGAGTTGCGCCGCGGCCGACGCCTACCACGACGCTCCACTTGCACCGCTGGGTGTCAAACACGTACAAGTCCGAGAGCCATGTAGAGCCGTCGTGGCCGCCATGGATAAAGATCTTGTCGTCGACGACCGTCGAGGCGTGGTTGTTGCGTGGCGACGGGATGCGGCCATCAGCGTGGAGCAGGCTCCAGCTCTGCGTGGGCACATGGAACTGCCAGAGATCGTTGAGCGCCATCTTGCCGCTCCAGCCACCAAAGAGGAAGAAGGCGTCGCGGCTAGGTACGTACTCGCACGTGTGCGCAGCGCGCGACCCTGGCGTCTCGCCCTCGGCGTGGCCCTGCGGGTGCGCCCAGATCGCCATCTCGCCCAAAAATCTTTGGGCGACTCTGTATCCGGATCCGCATACCATTTTTGAGCTATTTCTTAACATGCTTCTTAATACGCTTCTTAACTCAATTCCTAGCATACTCACCACGGATTGCGCTGGCAGAGGCTTCGAGTAAACGGTCTTCGGCGGACGTGGCAGTGGCAGAGCGTCGCTACACTCATTCCCCAAGCAAGACCATGGTGCTCGTTCATCTGCTCTATGGCATGTACGTGCGACGATGAGCATGGCGCATGGCGGCGACGGCTCATGCCGATACATATGTAGCTTCAAGACGTTGGCGTGGCTCGCCGGCTACAGCGAACACTACGTGACGGTCGACGACATTGAGTGGTCGTACCTCGACTCGGGCAGCGCCAAGGACGAGAGGCCGATCGTGCTCTTCCTGCACGGCTTCTCGAGCGTCAAGAACTCGATGCTGCGCGTCGCGCGCGCCACGTCCTATGACTTTCGCGTGCTCGTGCCCGACATGCCCGGGCACGGCAACACGACCGCGCCGTCCGTCACGAGCTACCGCGCGACGGAGCAGGCAGTGCGCCTCGAGGCCTTTCTGCAAAAGGTCATTGGCGACGCCAAGGTCCACGTCGTCGGCTGCTCAATGGGCGGCATGATCTCGGGCACATACGCGTCCATGTACCCGTCCCGCGTGCTCTCGACAACGCTCGTCTGCCCCGCGGGCGTCACGATGCCCAAGAAGAGCCCGCTGCTGCAGATCTTCGAAGACACAGGCGAGAACTACATGCGGGCGACGACCGCCGACGACTTCATAAGGCTGCACACGTACATGTTCTACGCGCCCCGCAAACTGCCCCACTTCATCGCCAACATCGTCGCCAAGGAGCGGGTACGTGGCATCTTGCCGTCGTATTCGCATCTCTTATGCAATATAGGCCAAGCAAGGCGAGGTGCTCGAACGCCTCATGAGCGACATCCTCCTCGACTTCCAGACGCTCGACGACAAGCTCGACATGATCCAGAGTCGTGTCCAGATCATCTGGGGCGACCACGACCGGATTCTCGACAGCTCGAGCTTGGAGGTACAACCAGACTAGGGTTCGTGTCTTCACATGCAATTGCAGATCATCCGGAAGAAAATCCCCGACCACCGACTCCAAGTGCACATGGTCCCCGAGGCCGGCCACTGCGTCCACCAAGAGAAGCACGCCGAGGTCGGCGCCCTTGTCCATACCTTCCTCACACAGTTCATTACGATCTCGGTGCCCGAACAACAATAAATGATTGCTGACCTAACCCTGGGCGCGTCTCTCCTGTGATGTCCACCCGACTGGGTCGACCAGCGCACGCCTTCCAAGCCAGCCCTGGATACGTGTGCTATGGTGTGTTTGGCCCTGGAGGCGGACGCATGAAGCCAAACTGAGGTTCCAGCCCACCTCGTTCACCTTCCCACCGACTCCGTTCAAGTCGACACGCTCAGGTCGCTACGGTGGACGAGATGTGCATCTCAACAAGGCTGGCACCCGTGACGCGGCAGCCAGATATTGTGCAACTAGTTGCGGCCCACCCTACGTGTTGACTGGGGTGGCGATGTAGTTCTACCGGTGGCAGCAGGTGTGAGTCCCAACATGCTCGCAACTTGCGTCTGAGCGCAATACGTGCTTCGATCAAGTCGCGATTACGGATTCACAAAGGCGTCGAGGGGCGTCGTCTTGGCCGCTACGAGGCGTGAGGCAAGCGCAGCAATCTCGCGCGGCAGAAAGCCCGTCTGACGCAACGCCGGGTGTTGTTCGAGCACGAGCGACAGATTCGTGTTCGGGTCCGGATGGTTCTTTTGCGCTGCGATCGGCGACGCGCTCAACTCGGAGAGCGAGAGGCCGCGGTCCTTCCCGAGCAGCCGTCGCAGCAAGTCGACCGCTTGCGCCGGTCCAAACGGATGCAAATGCTGCATGCGGCCGCCGTGCGTCTGGAAGACTGGCGACACCACCTGCTTGCGCGCCGTGACGAGCAGCCGCAAGCTCGAGTACTGCGTGCAGAGCGCCTCGATCCACTTGATGAAATCAGGCTCTTCGCGCTCGAGGAGCGGGTCGACGCCGTCGAGCACGAGGAGGCCGTGCTGCTCGATCGTCCTAGACACCACGTTCTATCATCCATATCCTGGGAATAGGAAGCGTGTACGCATTGTCAAAGGTGCGCGTGAGCCACGTGGCCACGCGCTGCTTGATGGCGGCGATCACGCGGTGCCCGAGCAAAATCGTGTTGTTCTTGTGCGCCGCCATGTCCTCGTCGACGATCTTGCCCACGTGCACAAAGCGAATGCCTGCGGGGAAGACCTTGCGCGCGCCGAGGTACCGGGCGGTCGCGTACGAGAGCTGCGTCTTGCCGACGCCCGCCGGTCCCACGAGCCACACAAACTTTTGCGTTTGGCTCGTCGTCGAAAAGTGCGAGCAGACCTAATCCCGCTTCATGTAGTATCGAGCCGAGGAAGACTAGATGTCGTACATAGTACTGGTCGGCTTCGCGGTGACGGAAGTGCTAGGATCCAGACTTGAAACCTTGATCATTTGCAACGACGGGACGTCTACCTGGCACAGCGATGGCAGTTTGCTCGACCAGACGACCGGAAACCGCTGCGACGACGGCACCTGCGACTCGTACTCGGCCAGCGGCAGCTCCACCATGGGGAAGATCACTTCGTTGTGGTCGTCGCCTTCGGGCAGCAGCTGAAATTTCGACGCCGCCTAGCGACAATATCAACTAAACGCAATACCTCAGTGTTGAGAGCGTACCTTGACGGCGTGGGGGAGGTGTGGATACACCGAGACGGCGTGGCGACCAATCTCAAAGCTCTCGGCCACGCTCTTGCCTTGCCCCAGAGCAAGGTAAAAGTTCCTACAACATAGGTTAAAGTCATTGTCGTCGATGCGACGGCGTCAGACTTGGTAAAGACGATGGCTGCTTGGTCTTCGAGACGCTCTTCCACCTTGACGGCGATGACGTGGGGGATGCCGCACTGAAGAAACGCCGAGGCTACGTGGCATGTGATAAGCCATTCGAATCGACAAGACATTGGCTACCACAGTACTGAGAGTGACACGCTTGGACGACCACAAGGCGAAGCGGAGCATTGGGTCCGCCAAAGAAGCTCCGGCGGAGTTCGTCGGCGACCATGGGGTGCACGGCGCTCTCTTGGTCTTCAAAGTAGAGGCACTTGGGTCCGCCATGACCGGAAAAGTGCAACGCGCGACAGCCCAGCGTCATCATCGACTGAAAGTTGTTGGACGTGGCAAACTGCACGTTGACGTCGATCTCGCGCGGCACGAGCATCACTAAACGCGATCATGTACCCGATTGTGATGTGAAACTATACCACTTGGGTCGTCGGGCTTGGTGCTCTATGTGTCCTGTCTCAGCACAAACCATAGGTACGTCCGCGTACCGCGTGCTTGGAGGCATCTTCGAGCGTCTTGATGAGGTTGTCATACTCGCGACACAAATCGAGCTCCTACGCGTCCGCCATCATCCAGTGACGCGTAGGCCGCATCGACGACAGACCTCGATTGGGTGCAAGCGGCCGTGCGCGTCCCGCCCCACGAGCGGTGACGAAAACAACACGCCCTACGCATGCGACGTGACACTCTATCAATCTATCAGGACGCGCGTACCAATACATTTTCTTGGATGTGACGCTTGGTCACGGGCGGCCGGTCCGCGTCCGGAAGGCGGGGCACCGTCGTCGTCGCGTTCGCACCGACAACATGCGGGTCTTCGACAATGTACCTACGCAGGCAGCACCGTCGGTGGGAGGTCGGTGTGGTCGCGGTGTACCCTAGCAGCACCGAGCCCGACTTGGACGAGAGAAGCGTAATCTTGTCGTCGTGCTGGAGCGTCGCGGGCTTGTCCTTGACTAGCGTAGCGATCAGCGCTAATGCATCGAGAAGAGGCAGGTGTGTACCCATCGTGATGCCGTTCAGCTTGATGCCGTTACGGCTGCGGTCCGTGATGCGCACGACGACGCGGCTGGACATGGTGTCTTGGACGCACTCGAAGACGCAGTGCTCTTTGCTGAGCTTGGCGATATCGACGTGCGCTGAGTCGTTCTTGTTGTTGAGCGCCGCCGTAAAGATTTCGCGGCCAAACACCAAGGGCTTGTGCATCGGACTAAATGGAGTTAGCAGATTTGCAACATCGAGTCGAACGTTACCTAAACTCGACGTCGAGGAGGCCCGCGCGCTCGAGCTTGTCAACCGAGTCGTCGCTCAAGTTGGCGACGACCGTCGGGTGCAGCCGGAGGCGCAAACACACCATGTTTTCCGAAAATGGCATGGTCTGCGTCATCTCCATGATGGCCTGCGACGCGACAAACTCAATGTTCTCCGTGTCGGCCAATGTGTCGCCGAGGTCGTCGTCGTCGTCGCCAGTTGACGGCTCGCGGTATTGCCCGGCCAAGCTGCTGTAGCCCACGATCGGTGCCCCTGCGTAGCGAGGCGTCGGGCGGGCCAGCGCCGGACCGCCCATGCTCGCGTCCGGCGCGCTGCCGTCGTCCGTGAGGTCAAGCATCGAGAGCGACGTGAAGCCAGTCGGCGGCGCCGTGGCCATCGCGCTCTTGGCGCGCTTCCGGTTCTCGGCGTCCTCCATCCACGCGCGCTTGGCCGACGCGGTGTCCATCGCGCAGAATTTCGCAAATACAACTACGAGTGATCCATATCCGGTTAATACGCTCCACAATCATCCGGAACGGCGCGAACCGATCTTTGGCCCCTCGCCGCGGCAAGCCGCCGTCGCCGGACCCATGACGCGTTCGCCGCTTCCAACCCTGCGCCACGTCCTCACACGAGTGTCTACTAGAGGCCATGACCGCCCAAAAGCTTCAAAAAGGAATAGTTGATGCAGAAATTACATAGTCTAGTGGGCGTCGGTGGGCGTGTTATCGAGTGGCGCGTAGTACACGGGCGGCGGAGGCATCGGGTTGAGCGACTCGAAAAGACGTGCGAGTTGCACGATGGTATCCTCGTGCCAATGCGCGGCCTGCAACTGCAGAGACATGGGCAGCCCGCCCGAGGAGAGACCTATCGGCACGGCGATGCCTGGGACGCCGACAAAGTTGCCGAGGACCATGTACTTCATGAGGCCCGTCGTAAGCTCGAGCTGCGAGAGGCCGGCTTTAAAGACATCGGGCTCGAGACGCGGCGCGAGGATTGACGTCGTTGGCGTCACGAGGACGTCAACCGCATCAAACACGTCGCGCAGCATGTTGGTGGCATACGCGCGCACGCGCTGGGCCGCGAGGAAGTCGATGCTCGAGAGCGCGGAGCGCGCGAGCTCCAAGTTGATTTGCACGTCGGCGCTAAACTCACGGATGCGGCGGTAGTGGACGTCGGTGGCCTGCGCCATCTCGGTGAGAATCGTCATGTTGTGGCCAAAGTGGATCGCTTGCAGGTTCGGGAGTTTGATGTGCACAATGGTCGCGCCCCGCGCCTGCAAGTGGGCAACTTGCGCGTGGAACGCTGTGACGATCTCGGCGTCCGTGCCGACGAGGTAGTCGGGATAGATACCGACGCGGAGGTGCCCGAGGTCATCCGCGACAGGCGATGTCGAGAGGTACAGCGGCGGTTGGTGCACACTCATCGGATGGCCCGCGTCGCTGCCCGCCATGACAGCGTACGCCAGCGCTGCGTCTTGCACGGTGCCAGCGAGCGGCCCGACGTTCGAGAGGCTCGGGCACCCGTGAAAGTCGTACGGGATACGCATGTACGTGGCTTTGAGCCCGACAACGCCGCAGAGACCCGCCGGAATGCGCACCGAGCCGCCGCCGTCGCAACCGATTGCGATCGGCACGAGCCCGGCGGCGACGGCGGCTGCCGACCCACTCGAGGACCCACCCGTCATGTGGTTCTCGTTAAACGGGTTGCGCGCGGTGCCGTGATGGATGTTGATGCCAAAGCAGCCAGCTCCAAACTCGTGCATGTTGGTCTTGCCGACAATGATCGCGCCAGCCGCACGGAGCCGAGCCACTGGGAGGCAGTCGACAGTCGCCACGCCATTGACCGACCCGAGAAAGGACGTCCCAAACGTGGTCATGTAGCCCTGCACCTCGATCTACGATATAACAAAAACGTGAGGCTCAACCATGAGCGAGCGGCGACGCACCTCGTCTTTCACGGCAATCGGGACACCGTCGAGGGGGCCGAGGGGGGCGCCTGCTCGGTACCGCGCGGTCGACGCGCGTGCGTCCTCGAGCGCGGCGTCGGTGTGCACTTGGATGAACGCCCGCAATGGCATCTCCCGCCGGTTCGAGTCGTCAATCGCATTGAGAACTGCAGTGATGGCTTGCAGGGGTGTGATCGCACCGGACGTGTACTTGCCAACATAGTCGGCTGCCGTATAGCGATGAAACGCGAGGGACGGCGTTGCTTGCTCCATGGTCGCCAGCGCTTGCAGTGAGTAGGCGTGTGCACGCGTCGAGTGCTGCGCAAGAAGGGCGCTCGAGGGCATGGAGAGCGGGTAGTAGAGCGGCTGGAGGCGCAAGGTGGCCGCGAGTTCGCGCACTTGGATCATGCGGTTGTCCGACTTGATTTTGCGCAGAATTGCGGGACCAAGGACCGGTGCGCGCAGGAGCTTGGCAAAGATCTTGAGGCTGTTGCCGGTGAGGCGTGGGGCCCGGAGCTCCGTGAGGTTCATCGAATCGCTCGCCACCTTGTCGACCAGCGCGTCGTAGGTCGCGAGCGCGTGGTCGTCGTCGCGGTGGCCCATGGGAGTGACTTGGAAGCTTGCTCGGTTCGAGTTGAAAGGGGCAGTGACCGACGCCAGCGTGAGAGATGCGCTTCCTTCTGCAAAAGGCAGGTCGTCGAAATCGAAGGTTCACACAAACATTTCTTCTTCTAAGCTTCGATATACGTCCAAACTTACAGAGCTCACTTGCAGCAGCCGAGAAGGAACCGTAACTCGTGGTTCCAACGGCGTTGGCAGCCCAGATACACACGTCGGAGAACAAAACTGCATCGAAGTTCGGCCGCGAGACGTGGGCTGCGTTGGCCATCTTGACAACGCCACCGTATGTGTCAAGGATGACAGAGCCCACGAGAGTGACGTCCACCTTCAGATACGTAGCTCGCTGATCGACGCATTTGACAAAGGCAGAGCCTCGTGCAAACTTGCGGCTGTACCAAGTCTCGGCACCGACGCCGTGCCCATACCTGTTCTACGCAAGCAGCACGTCTCTCTACCATCCTTCCTTGCGGCGACAACCAGATTTGCTGCACCGCTTTCGCTCCTCACGTTGCCGTAGGCTGTCACACTCTCGTTGCCACCGCCGCGTGGCAACGTCACGACGCAATAAACTCATTTTGTCCCAGTGCGCTACAGCGTAATCGCGCCACGTCATCACACGAGATGGTAATCAACGTCGCCATATGGCGCCCCAGCATCGCCGCCGGCTGCCTCAAAATCGCACTTGCCGGATCATGGCGACGAGCAGCTTTCCCTACACCGAGCCACCGACGCCGCCAAGCGACAGCGTCGGCGACACGCTCCGGCGCGCCGTCTTTGTGACGCTCCTCTCCATCCTCGGGCTCCCCTACATGCTCTACGCGTGCCTCTTTCAGCGCACGATGATTACGCCAGTCCTCGCGGCCGCCCGGCGCACGAGCATCAAGCTCGACGCGATGTACAAAGACCCACCGCGTCTTGCACGTGCATGGGCCACGCCCATTGGACAGCGCTACCTCGCCGGCGGCCTCGAGTACCAGCGGCGCGAAGGCTACTGCGCGTCGGCGACTCTCCGAAACGTCCTCAAGTCGGTGGGTCGCAGCGATGTGCTACCGGCGTCTCGACGTGGTGCCTCGACGCCTACGCAATACGTGGCAGCGCTCGACCACGTTGGCTGCACGTCATCGAAAATCGTGTACGGCAGCGACGGCTACGACGCGTTTCGATCGGCGCTTCGAGCGGCCAACGACCCGAGCTACCGCGTCGCCGCCAACTTTCTGCGGTCGCCGCTCTTTGGCTTCAACGGGCTGACGTACGCACCTTTCAACTTTATCCTGGGCGTCTTTGGCGGTCACTTCTCCAATGTCATTGGGTTTCTCGAAGACGACGATCTCGTGATCGTCTTTGACGTCAACCATACGTACGGCCCGTACTTGGTCGACGCCAAGCGCCTCTACAGCGCGGTCAACACGTACGACCAGACCGCCAAGCGCACACGAGCGCTCATCGTCTCGAAAGTACTCACGGAATAAATACTATTTTTTTGTCTTTTTTGTCTTTTGAAATGTCATATATATATGAACGTGTTTCGCGTTATCTTCATAGTTACACAAAGACTTCGCATACGTAGAGACTAGCAATCTCCTTCTTCTTCATTCGCTCGCCGGCCCGTGGCTGCGCAGGCGGCGGCGCTTATGTCATATTTGAACAATTGTTGAACACTATTGTAGTGGGACTTGGAGCTTTGTCGACGTATATGCAAAGTCTTGTACGAACCAAGAGAACACAAAACACGCTCATATATATATATATAATGCCGTCCATGACCTTAGCGGCCTGCGTCGTGTAATTATTGTGCGAGCGATTACAGCGGAATGTCTTGGGTGGGGCGACCGATCAAGTAGAGTCGGTCGAGCTCGCGCATGCGCGTGTCGGTCTCCGGGTTGGTCTCGACGTACGCGGGCGTGACAGCGTCGTTGCTTTCGTTGGTCTTTTCGGGGTGCCAGCAGCCAATGCACACGAAATGCTAGGGCCAGTCAACGCGATGCACGCAGTACCTCTCCTCATCGTACCACGTTCAAAAGCTTCCGGAAGCACTCGCCAAACGACTTGCCCACGAGGGGCTTGGGGCAGGGCACTTGAAACAAGCTTTGCTTTCTAGGACGAGTGTGATTTCGCGCCGAATCGACTAGAGGTCGTACTGGCCTTCGTAGTCGCTGCCGTGGAGGAGGGCGTCGAGGACGGTGGAGAGGTGTGGTTTCTGATAACACTCGCTCATCAAGCTCTCGATGAGGCCGCTGACGTACACCCGACCTATTTCGTTGGCATGACTAATAGACATTGTGTACACAAATGACGCACCCGACGCGTACGCTGGCTGACACAAATGTACGAGGTCGACCAAGTCGTTCTCGTCGTTCTCGGACGCGTCGTCATTTGGTAGCATGAGCTTATCGAGGCGTGTCGAGCCGCCACCGACCAAATGCGAGATGCGGCGCGTGCGCACGTTCTGGGACTTGACGATCGAGCTCAGGAACTTGACGTTCGTGTGCTTGACGAGCTCCACAATCAAGTTGGGCGGCCGCTTCCCAATGAGGTAGCTGCCCTCGAGGATGAAGCGCACGCACGTGATCGCGTCGGCGTCGACCATGTTTTCGTCGAAAAACGACTTTGTGCCGGCGGCCGACGACTAGCATGGACAATATTGTCAATATTCCCCACAAAACGAGGTGCAAAGCGTACGAGAACAAGCACCGAGGCGGCCGACGGGACGCCGGCGCGGACCAGGTCCTTGGAATGCAGCGGCGATCCTTGGCAGTAGTAGACGTTCTGGAACCGGTGTTTCTGAATACTTTGGTGGTATTGCTCCTTTGTGGGTGGTTTTGGCGCCAAAATGACCACGAGCTAGCGCTTGTCTTGCCACACCCAACTCGTATGCATCGACGGCATCGTACCCGGGACTGGGCGAGCGTGTGGTGCAGCGGAATCAAGAGGTCGTGGAGCGCCGACGGCACGCCAATGAGCACAATGTGCTCCTCAAACGCATTTGGAAGCGACCGTGTCTACGCCTCAGTGACCGATATGGCTAGATACACGCAACATACGACGAAATCTTCGTACGCGGCCGAGTCATAGAACGACGAACGCTGCCCACCGGGTGCAAACCGGCTCGCGCCCGACGAGTTTGATGGCATGAGAAGCGTCGATACTTTGCGCGTCTGGCGGCGCGACAAGGACGCTGTTGCAATCACGTCAGGGGTCAGCGTGGGGGGGACCCCCCCACTCTCGAGCAGCTTCTTCTCGGCGCGCAACTGCCGATCGCGCTCCATCTTTCGAAGCGTTTGGCGAAAGACGCGGATCTCTTCGTGCTGGTAGCGACCAATGCCGTCGAGGGCTTCGAGCGACGCGGCAATCACATACAAAGTGCAGCACGTGTTGGGGTCGGCGGTCGTGCCCAGTTTAAAGTCCATGGGGATCATGCGCACGCCGGCGTCCTACATCGACAAGTGGTGCATTTTGAATCCAGCAGAGATATGTCGCACCGCAATGAGCGCGATCGGGATGATCTGCAAGTTGTTGTAGAGGAAGAGAACGAGCTCGCTAAACGTCAAGCCCGAGTACGTGCGTGGAATGTCGACGCTGAAGAATTTGTTGGCGCAGCCTATGGTTAGGATAGTGTCTATATTCTGATAGACAATGTGCTAGACAATGTGCGTACCGTTGAGGTACGCCGAGACCCACGACCGGTCGGGTTTCTTGTTGGGAATCGCAATCGTATCCAGGAGGTTGGAGATGAGCGTCGAGAGACCCTTGATGTCGCAGCTCTTGGCCAGCAGCGTCATCTTGAGCTTCTCGACACAAATGACGCTGTTGGCCCCCGAGATATGGCAGTGCGAGATGTTGCGCGACAAAATCACTTGGGTAAAAATCGGTACGCGCGGGTTGTAGCTCCGAAACGCATTGGTCAAGATCGAGTTCATTTGGTCTATCGTGTGGGTGCAGCATATGGGTTTGAACCGTATAAAGTACCTGTTTTTTCAAACTGGTTGTTCATGCACGTCAAGACATAGCACATGGCACTTCGATGCACGGACGCGCGACGCAGATCGGTCTCCCGCATGGCCGACCCGACAATGTACGTCACGCGCGGTTCGTACAAATGGATGAGTTTGGTGATCTCGGCACTCGGTTCTTTCGGGTGTAAAATCACAATCTAGACCAAAAGGCGATAAAACACTGTAAACAATTTGTCCATCGCGCACCTGTTCATTCCAGCGCCGATTGTCAGCATGAAAAAACTGGCGCAAGAAGGCTGCGAGCGCACTTGCATCCAAGTCGCACGCGGTGATGACTGCATGACTGTCCTCGGTCTTGCTGTACGCTTTCGTGTAGTCCGAGTGCGACGAGATGACCGAGACAAGCTTATTGACTTGCAGTGGCACAAGTACAAACGTGAGTAGAATGAGCGTCGCGACACCCAGCCGACCCATGCGCGTCTGTGGCGAGATGTCACCGTAGCCGACAGTCATGATCGACACCTAACCCTTGTCCACATCACAAACCCAAATGACAATTCCATACCACAACAAAGTAAATCCAGTCGAGGAACCGATAGTCGGTGCACTTGTCGCAGCACTGAGTGTTGGGGCATTCTTGAATGCAAACGTCTTCGTACGCAGTCGAGCACGCGGGCGTATCGCAGAGCCCGGGTGCGGGGCACACTTCGAGGATCTGGAGCACACCCGCAAGTGCAATGATCATGCACACAACAGTGAGCAGTGTCGCCATGATCTGGCGCTGAACAATGGACGACGTAAAGCGCAGGAGACGGTAGGCGCGCAAGATGCGCATCGACTTCATCACTTGTAAGAGCGAGAGGAGCTGACGGCCAACGTCGCTCGCGCGGAGCTGAAGCACGACATCCTGCGAGTCGCTGCTGTTTTCCATCACCGAGAGTCCAAACTCGATCCATGCAGAGCAAATCCCAATGACGTCGACGATCGCAAAAAAGCTCGTCATGTACTCGCGGCGCAGCGGCGCGGCGTAAAACCGAAGCGCATAACTACGCAAGCGCCCATCGTATGTACATGGCACCTGGGATACCGAGGACGTACTCGATGGTAAAGAGGACACCAATCGCGGTGCCGGCGTCTAGAAGTGGTCGTAAGAACACAACGGTCGTATCGAATGGCGTACTCGTGATGGGGCGCTCGACTTCGACGCTGTAGCCCGACCAGTTGGTATACATGAAGAACGCGACCATGACGAAGCTCAGTACGACAAGGAGTGCATCGTTCAGGCGACACAGCGGCGCCTGCTCGAGATTCCGCGCCGTCCACGCGCGGAACGTCTCGTCGGGCACGGGCGGGAGCAGCCAGTGCGTGACCGTCGGGTCGTTGAGCGTCTTTTCAAAGTGAAAGGCGGCGGCCACCTTGCTAGCGTACGTGTTTTGTACCACAGCCGCTGCCCGACGCGTGAGGCGGCGGCTTGCCACCAACGGCGGCGGTCCTCCGGCCTTCATAGTTGCTGACGTTGCCTTTTTACGAAACTGCTGCAAGGCAAACCCGACGCGAAACGGCGATACGTCGGCCGAGTCAAGCTCGCATGTCCATCGGCCGCCATTGATTCAGCTTATCTAGTGTTGGCGAGGGTCCCACGACAGAAGAAGAACCATGCTCAATCAATAAAACCTCGACAATAACTCCAAACAAGAACATTCGGTTGTGCAATTTGGAGCCGCGGCGTTGGCGTCGAGCGAGGAACGTCGCTGTTGGCGAATGGCATATGT